CAAGTGAGAAGATATATTTGATCCACTGTAAGTGCTACCTCTCTCATCATTTTCTACCAAATCATGACCAGCAGGTCAAGAACTTGACTAACATAAACTTCCAAAATGTCTTCCACTTTCCCAAATCAATTACAGTCAGCTTATTCACACTGGACATTTTTTATTGTCTAGATTAAATATATGATTACATGTTGTAAGCAGTTTTCAGATCATTGTTTCATCTCTAAGAAAAATGTAATATTATCAAACAAAACAGAGTATTGCAAACAATCAATAGTACCCCACCTCCATACTATTGTCTGTATCAAAAATTAAAAGCAGACGATATATAAGAGCATGAGGACAAGTTTCAGTACATGGAAATCTGTCAGGACAAGATGTACTCGCATGCATGTACAAAATATGGAGATATGCTCAAGACAATGTGACATACTGTGAACAATATAACTTAGTATACAGTTGGGCACCAGACCCTATTTTAGTTTACAGTACTCTTCAATAAATACCAAATTTAGCAATAGTATTAAAGGAAAGGGTATGAAATATGCCCAAACAAGGTGATGAACAATAAACCAAGGGCCATAACTCTGTAGATAGTTGGACACCAGACCCATTGTAGTCATTGGTGTGACTCTTTAAAGCCTTCAATGAGGGCGACCTCCCTCATTTCACATTCCAAAGAGGGAAAAGTGAGTGAAAAGCGACTGAAACTACTTTGCTCAATTTATCATTCCTTTTTTATGTACGAAAATAAATCCAAAAAGCATTCATTTGATTCAAACACACCTGTAATGATCTTTACACACACCCTGCAGTAACCAGGAGATGATTTGACCACAGGATGTAGATTGGTATTTTTTGGTCAAAAGAGGGAGTCACCCTCCTAATGAGGGAGGTTTGACAGCTATGTGTAATTACCATAATGCCTTCCCTTACAAAATTTGGTGATTGTAGAGGAAAGAGTATATGTCCCAGACAAAGTGACACACGAGTTGGTGGAAGGCAAACCTATAATTACCTATGGTAGTACAGGTGGGGTATCGTAACAAGTTGTAATAACAAGCACATGTCTACCACACAATTAATGCAAAAGCAAGCAGCAGCATCACGTATGTAAAATCACAGTGAGGCATATATATGATATTCTTGCCTTCGGTATTCTAGAAATTTGGATTTTCGAAATGCTTATATTTAGAAAAGTACTACTTGAATGTTAGCTTGCTGTAAAAATTCATTGACATTTTCTATTTTTTTTAAAAACTAACTTGATAGATCCACTGTATAGTCTAGTTTTTAGGTCGTGCACCTGTAATACAATAGACATAGACCCATTATTCACACAATTGTTAAACTGTATGTCTAGATCATGATATGCTCAATCCTAAATGTTCTCCAATGTGACCGTGTTAAATTTATCTGAATATACATGATATTTCATTTCAATAATCATTTAAACAAGTTCTACAAATATTAACAGAACATAGTGTACAAGACATATTGTACATATTTAGGTGTATAGCCATGCTAACAGTGACAGAAAGTATAGTATGGAATGTTTAAACTGTTGAAGATGTATAACCAATCTTACATCACACACATACAAACACAATATAAGCATCGGTATATGGTGATACCTGATGACGTAGGCTTATGCATATATATATATATGGCATATAAAAAAAAAATCTGTATCGAATGGTAAAATAGGGACTCCTATGAGAGCGTGTTTAGGTAGCTGTTACAGTGTCTTGTACAATAGATCATGCACTTGGACCTTGCAGAACGTAATTTTGAAAGTTTCATTAAAACTTTCTTGGCAGTCCTGTACAGCGGAAGTCTTCTTTAAAAAAGAACACTGTAAAACATGTAGAGGAAATACTGATTCTTCAAAATTTATGACAATGTTAAGTGATCACCTTTGTCTTCAGACAGATGACAGTTGATCAATAGTTTACAAACTTTATCAAAACCTACTTGTGATTAATTCACTATACAGACATTTACGATTCCGACACAGATGTTAAGATGGAACAGACCATAACGGTGTTTCAATGAGGTGACTATACTGATTGACTTTAAAGAATATAAAATCGTGTCTGGGTTGACTATTTGTTCCCAGCATCTTATGCTCACATCAATTATTTTATCATTTTACAATTGCTTGATGAATAAATATATAGGAAAGATTTTTTTTTTACTACAAATCATTAATCTCAGATCAATATCGCATCAGACTAGTTGCTTAAAACAATGACCAACTTCAAGTCAGTCTTTAACAAAACAGTGCGTGTGTTTTATCCCAAGATTTCATTTTATCTATGTGAGCCAGTGTTTGATACAACAGTCAAATACTTTCTGATCTCAGTACCACATCAATGTTCTATCCCTGGTATAGTGTACATTGTGTATGTATGGATTGCCTTTCTTCTGTCCAATGTCTTCAATCCAAAGGAGTCCTTCAAATAAAACTGCAACAAAGATGATTTACTAATTCTTAATTTCATTTCTAAAAGGTTGCAAGCAATGAAACTTTCAAAATGAAACAGAATTAACTATTTTGCCAATAAGCCTTTCTAGGTTCCCGATTGAAATATGAGCATATGTACAATGGGCATGACGTCACATTAAAAGTGCAAAATGACATCCCGGTCACCTGGTTTGACTAACACTGTCGGGTACCTATTTCAGTACAATTTGGTATATTATAGTATATTTAATGGAATTATGCAGACTGAATCTTGTACCGAGATGATCACTAGAATTAAACACCAACTACTTTACAGTTGATTTAATTTATCTCCATGACCAATTGACCTATGAACAAAATTATCACAAGATTCAATCTTGATTATTTGTAAAAAAACCAGAGGATCTACCAAGGGTTACTAGTAATGACCTCCAGAAAGTTACCCTAGGGACCATTTGAGCCCAAGAGACCAAACCTCGGGACAACTGGTAATGAGCCCGAGAAAGCTACCAATGGGACTAGGGGTATTAATGAGCCTAGGAAAGTAACCAAAGAGACTGCTGGTAATGAGTCTTATAGAGCTGACAAAGGACCTACTAGTAATGTGCTCACAAAATCTATCAAATTTTCTGAGGCCCCAGAGTGCTACCATAGGGACTAATGTTAAAGTGCCCATGAAAGCTACCAATTAAGAGGAATATCTTCCACGAGCATGACTTCAGGCATTATGACTTAGTAGAAGAAGCTGTTTTAGAGTAACACATCTGACCCCTGATGATCGTGAAAATGTGTCAAAATATCACAACACTATATAAAAGTGTATGGTCTGTCCAAGTCTTTGTCTTAGGCCAATAGCGTACCTGCTGTTGCCGCATTTCTAGGATATGTTCTGTTCCATTCAAGAATCCGAATTGACTGCAAAGAATAAAATTTATCATAATTTCAAATCAAAGAAAAGAAAATTCACCCACAACATTAGCAATAGAGTCTTACTAACTGTTAAGCCAAGTTTCAAGGTAAATCAGACCTAAACGATGAGAGTTGTCAGTGGATCAGCTAACAGTGACAAGTGTAGTCACATTGGAAAATGTTTAAATCAGTCATTTCCCCTCCAGCTATGGAGTAGCTTGAAATATCTCGGTCATAATCAGCTGTCAGTTATTTATAACGTTGTGAAATAAAGATGTGTCTATAAATTGATAACAGCATTGGATCACTGTTACCTGTTAACTTCTTACAGAAGAGTCACTCGTCTGATTAAAATACATAGATAATCCACCATTTTGTTATATGTGCCTGGTTAAGCCTAGCAATGATATGTGGTATAGATTCCGGACCAGAGTTGAGGTAACGAAAGAGTTGAGTATTTATATTATACCTCGACTGCCAGGGAGTAATCACTTAGTCATGAGGTCCACCAATTAAAACCAGATTCTTTAGGCATAGAAAATTATTCTTGAAATCTACAAGTGAAAGTTTTTATCAGAATTTATAAAAGTTCAATTTAGACTTAATTATTTAATTTGTTTAAAACATTGCGAACTCTGCATATCTATGGTGAAATTAGCTTCTATCATAACAATAGTTGTTTACCAGATTAAGTATTTTACCTGGGTAAGGTGTTCAAGGATGTTACCAACTAATTGAAGGTACAGTGCTTCCAAGATCTACGAGTTCTGCCACAATATATCACATATCTATTCTGCACACTTAATACATGACAGTGAAATGAAAGGTTTGCAGTCGGCTATTCATTCTTCTTTTTCTCTGATAAGATCTTTCATTGTAAATGCATATATATATATTTCTAATCCCACATGTAAACAATCAAAGTTGACTGTAACATTCCAAAAGACTGACAGCCTTTTCTGAGAGCTGGTTCAAAGTCTGATCAAAAGCTATTCAGATATTCAATGGTTTGATAGTTGACAACAAAGATCTTCCATAAGTAACAATTATGGTCACCTTGACCCCTAAAAAAGTGGTCACTAGATTGATGTCAACTACATGTGCCTAACAGAAAATGTATGATTGTGGATAAAGTTCATTCGTTTGACTTGCCTTTACAGTGTACTTCATACAATGTATACACAGATTTGTGTGCATGTGATTGGATAAACAGTCTTTGCTTGCCAGAAAATTATAACTTTCAACTATGACCTTGACCTTTGACCTTAAAATTCAGAATGGTTCATCATTTGTCTTGGCCAATAATGCTGCAACATTTTAGAGAGATTGAACATGACAGTCTTTGTACTAGTGTGTCTTTAATATTGAAACCTGTACGAACAGACTACTATATCACACGGTACCATATTTGTTCATGTATTTAAATATGTATATAAGACAAATGTAATCACTTCTTTTACAGTCATCTCAGTTATTTTCATTATCAACTAGAAAATTGAGAATCACAACTTTACTAGCAGCTGTAAAAGACCACTGTGACAATTTAGGATAGTACATTATTATTCACGAGTAGATTGGAGCTTCTTGTTTCTTACACATGTGTGTAATATCCTTCTTACCTACATCGTGTGCCGAGTTTGTATCATTGTCCAGCAGTGCCAGGAACATAGACTGGTTTCTGTATAGTTCTTCATGATGTGGATCTATGGAAAACATGTTCTGGTACTTTTAAAGTTATTTAAATGTAGCATGCACTAGTACATTATATGTAAGTATAACTGAAGAAATCAATGTACATCAATGTGATAAATAATTATTACTTACGCAATACTTAAAAACTTGCTCACTAGCAGAAGACATACATCCTGCATTCAATTTTTCCTTAGTCCTATCTCTAAGATTTCATATTTACCTTAAGAAGTTTTGTGAGTGTATAGTCATATATACACAATACAAGGTGAAGTCATCATTTTCATTATTTCAGAATGACACAGTATACAGAAATATGTTATATGTTCACACTGCCATGCAGGTATATAAATAATGTGCACAAAATGCCCTATACAATGAATACGACTCATACAAAGCACACATATTGACCAAGTAAGAGGAGTCTGTAATAAAACGTCCGTTATCATACTCGGCTGATTCTCATGATGGTAGGCCAAGCCATCCGATATATGTAAACCAACCACTCATCCACTTGTATACTCGGCTGATTGTGAAAAGAAGACAGATGTTTTTATTGACACTAAAAAAAGAAACCACATGTTCTTACCATGCCAATAGTTACCAACAGACCAATGTTGTCCAAAACTGGTGTAGAAATACCTAAATGAAATAAAAACAAAACAAAGACTAATGAGAAAATAGCATATGTATAGATCTATCACTTGAGTTTTTTCGCATTATCTTCAACTTCAATCCAAATTGGTTTTATTTCCCTTGAACAATCAAAGATGCTAACTCCAGGGGTTACAATCTCCAATATTACTCATGTCGACCAGCTGTGAGCCCTGAATGTGGTGCCTTGTATCAATTTATATAAACTTTTATTGTAGAAGTTGTAAACATTAACAAATAAATTAAACAAGAGGCCCATAGGCCTTAACGGTCACCTGGATGGAAAAATCATCAAGTATTGACTGACCAACTTAAATCAAATGACATGCACTCTAAATTTTTAAGAAAAAAAAATCATGTTCCAACTAGGATCACAAGCTATGATATTTTACATTATCATGGTGTTCTTAACAAACTGTAATTATTTCAGAAACATCACTGCAGGAACACTAGAGATAATAAACTATTTATGGTCATAGTAAAGCAAATTAAACGAAGCCAAAGTCAAAGTAAAACAATAACTTCACTGAGTTTACCGATATAAGACTAATATCACAAAAACTTTCCCCTCAACCACTATAAGAATAAACATTTTACAATTGTGGAAAAAAGATCTGGAACCTTGACTAAGTTAACTAAAACTGCCATCCTGAGGATAACTAATACCCAGTACCTTCAGTAAATATGAACCGATTTTGATGAAACTTTGTTTGCAGCTTTGTATCAATGAGATATTGGATGAGTTTGAATACCGGACCAATTTTACCATAAGTTACATAGTTATTCCCCTTGGTAATTCTATTATTGTTGGACCCTGTGAACATGATAACTGAAATAAATGGGTGTGACTCCAATTTTGACCCAAGGGGTCTGTTTTGAACAAACTTGGTAACTGTATTTCTTCTGTTCTTGGTTAAAAGAAACAAGTAAAAGCGTAAATCAATGATTTATTAAATAAGGCACAAAATTTCAATAGCACCTTGTTAGTAGCAAAAATGCGTCATGAATGAAAACAAAAAGTTGTACCACATGAATTTACATCCATTCTTGTAATGTCAATCAACATCACAGGGACAAATAATAATATAATGACAAAGGGCAATAACTCTGCAGGTTACCGTCAAATAATTACCGGAAAAGTTTCATTGAACTCTGCAACATTTATTTTCAAGTTATCGTGTTTATAAGGTCCAATAATAATATTATTACAAAGGGCAATAACTCTGTAAGTTACTGTCAAATAATTCCCAGTTTCGAACTCATCCGACATCTTATTGATATAAGGCTATACATACAGAGTTTCATCAAACTTGGTCGATATTTACTCAAGTTATTGTGAACACAAGGTCCAATACAAAATAGTGTAATAATATTATTACAAAGGGCAATAACTCTGTAAGTTACTGTCGAATAATTCCCATTTTCCAACTTATTCGAGATCATATTGATAAAAGGCCGCATACAAAGTTTCATCAAACTTGGTTCATAATTACTTAAGTTATCATGTTCACAAAGTCCAATAATAATATTATTACAAAGGGCAATAACTCTGTAAGTTACTGTTGAATAATTCCCATTTTTGAACTCGACCGAGATCTTATTGACATATGGCTGCATACAAAGTTTCATCAAACTCGGTTAACATTTACTCAAGTTATTGTGTTCACAAGGTCCAAAAATTATATTAATACAAAGGGCAATAACTCTGTAAGTTACTGTCGAATAATTACCATTTTCGAACTCGTCCGAGATCTTATTGACATATGGCTGCATACAAAGTTTCATCAAACTCGGTTAACATTTACTCAAGTTATTGTGTTCACAAGGTCCAAAAATTATATTAATACAAAGGGCAATAACTCTGTAAGTTACTGTCGAATAATTACCATTTTCGAACTCGTCCGAGATCTTATTGACATATGGCTGCATACAAAGTTTCATCAAACTCGGTTAACATTTACTCAAGTTATTGTGTTCACAAGGTCCAAAAATTATATTAACACAAAGGGCAATAACTCTGTAAGTTACTGTCGAATAATTCCCATTTTCGAACTCGTCCGGGATCTTTTTGTTATATGGCTGAATACAAAGTTTCATCAAACTCGGTTTACATTTACTCAAGTTATCGTGTTCACAAGGTCCAATAATAATAATATTACAAAGGGCAATAACTCTGTAAGTCACTGTCGACTCCTTCCCATTTTCGAACTCGTCTGGGATCTTATTGATATATGGCTGCATACAAAGTTTCATCAAACTCGGTTAACATTCACTCAAGTTATTGTGTTCACAAGGTCCAAAAATTATATTAACACAAAGGGCAATAACTCTGTAAGTTACTGTCAAATAATTCCCATTTTCGAACTCGTCCCAGATCTTATTGACATATGGCTGCATACAAAGTTTCATCAAACTCGGTTAATATTTACTGAAGTTATCGTGTTCACAAGGAAAAGTTAACGCACGACGACGGACAAAAGACTATCACAATAGGTTACCATGACCTACGGTCAGGTAACCTAAAAAGGCAGTAAAAAGGTGTTATGAGAGGAAATATAGAACTTAAGCTGTTTATGGGGTAAATTCCTGGAAAATCTAGAAAATGAGGAAATTATTTTTGGTCACATACCATAATTTTGTAAAATCTTTTTTGTTTAATTTAATTTTAAAAAGCAGCTCAGCTCACCTGTAAATTTCTTCTTTTACAAAATGTGGAAACAGATACTTCAGATAGGCAGTGTCTGGAAAAAGAGGCATTATATATCAATTTAGTTACATGGTACAGCTGCTTTCCATAAATTATGCTAAAACAAAACATTTCAAGATGAATGAATCAGGAAAAATTTTCTCCTACTCAAGTCAATATTAAGATTGTTTTGGTCTGATCATTTCAAGGACACAATAAGCTGGAGCTTAACAGCAGTTGACTGTTGTATTCCTAACACTTTATCCAATTACATGCAATTTAAATATGTAATCATCACATACTGTTAGAGGTCGGCAAATAACATTGCAATTACCAATACGTTTTACTATGTGACTGCTTATCAATATATATATTGCAATATCATTTTGAAACAATAAATATTACAATAATTTTCAGTTGGTTTAGGCAAAGTTATGAAATAATTTCACAAAAATAATGTCAAAAATTAATTAATGTTTTCCAAATTAAGCCTGCTTGGTTTGAAAATTTACAATATCATGTAAAATAATTTTTAATATATTATTGAACTTACTTAACTGATTCTCACTTTAATTTATTCTATGGAAAGTGATTTCAAGTTCACTGAACATCTAGGAAAACAATATACATTATATGTATTGCGATATTATTTGCAATACATGCATTTCCTTGAATATTGAAATGCATTGCCATATGAAAAGTACATGCATTACCAACTCTATATTATATAATTGTTTATGCATTTTTGTTACAACTTATCACATTCACTCAAATGTTTCTTTTCCTTACACATTATCTATACTTTATACAAGAAATTATATCATTTAAGTAACATATGATTACTCAATTTTAAAATAAGGAAATGAAACTGAGTTATGACTAATACACTGACCTCCATATCGGCCTGCCTGTGGTGAACTCAGGGATATGAATGTGTCAACATTGTGTCTGGTTACCGAGAGTAGACCACGACAAACCAATCCACCTAAAAGATATAGTAACCTCATTTTCAGTGTGTGTTATACATCTGCCTTAAATTTTGTTACAGACTTTCCAACTTCTCAGTTTCACAATTTTAGAGTTTGTTAATGAACCATTCACCATTTTTACATTTCTTTCTTCATTTGCCCAACTTAGCATAAAATAATTCCATAAATGTTTATGACTGAGGCTATATTCTGGATCCTCTTCAGATTAAATATAATATATGAATAAATATTTCATGATAGTATAATGGTCCTGCTGAGTGGCTGTGGGATGGTAACTGTTATAGAATCTAGTGTAATTGACTTAAGACTTCAACTGGCAACAAGGAGAACCATGTCACTTTTTATTGATTTAGAATGAAGGTGCCAGACAATTAGAACTGAAAGTGTGTTTGCTTTTACATTTCTTGACCCAACATTCCTTGATATATATGATGCCATTTTAATCTTCCTGTGTTTCTCTCACACTTGCTATATGGTAGACATGGAAAAATCAAGACTTTTGCATGTTTAATATTTATTCAAAGTGAACAACAAACCCTGTGAAAAGCATATCATATGAACTCCACCAGGATGATCATTCATGATGTCTGTGACAATTTCCTTGATTTTGTACACCTGGGTCCATAACGGTTGTAAGCTCTCATATCCACTGAAAGCATAAATGGTTGTCACATTGGTTCCAGGGTGAATCTGTCATATACAAGTAAGCATTTGATCTTTAACTTTTGTGTAATTATATCAGAGACGTATATATATATATATATACTATATCATATCTGAATAAATAATAACATTTATTGATAACCCTTCTCAGGATTCATTTTTTTGGTCTGGATTTAATTCCGATAACCTGCTAAAGCCATCAAGGTGGCTTCATATTTGTTTATAAAGATACGCAAATTTCGTTTGCCTGTTCGTAGCAAAGCAGGCATATGTTTCATCTTTTCATGAAAATAAGACTGTGTGTACTAGGCCTGAATAAAGAAATAACATTTATCAGCATCAGGTCAGTTGACAAAATTAAGTAAAGTGTACAATAGTGATGACACATCAGTAATGAAAAAAACAAAGGCCAAGAAGCAAGACAATATTGGGATTGCCCCACTCAAACAGGGAGCCAAACTACTCACTGGCAGCACAGACAATCCATTGCAAATGTTCAACTTCCAGAAGATTTGCGAGTTGCCAACATAACCCCAATATTTAGAAAGGAAAACGTCACATACCAAGTAACTACAGGCCAGTGTCACTCAGATGTGTGTACTTTAAACTCATTGAGCTCATCATCTATCCCTACCTCAGGAACCATCTCGAGAAACAAAACATCCTAACACCACTTTGTGATACAGGTCACCTAGCACCTACAGATACTTGAGGAAGTTGAGTTGAAGAGAATCCATACTTAGGGGTTGTTATTCACAACACCATGAAGTGGAATGCTCATGTCTGCACCATCGCAAATAAAGAAAACTCCACACTCAGGTCCTTACAACAAAATTTGCGACACTGTCATTTACCACTAAAGTTAACAGTTCTTTACAAGCTTACAGCTCAGCAATATACCGTACCAGACAAACTACATCCATTCTTTGGAAAAGATACAATATCGCACTGCCCAGTTCATAACAACTGATTTCCAGAGAGAAAGCAGCGAGATCAATACTGGATACCCTGAAACTATCATCACTCAGAGATTGCAGACGGTACCATCGACTTGTCTCCTCTATAAAATGGTGAAGGGGCTTGTTGCTTTACCTGTAGATCAAGTCTTAGCCAAAAGAAATAATTGGACCAGAGCAAAAAACATCGAATAATGTTTGCCAGTTTCAGTGTAATACTGAGGTCATTTTCCCCCACTTACCACTGCTGATTGCAACAACCTCCCAGAAGATCTGCCTTCAAATCCTTCTAAACTCTAATATCAACAATTTAAATCCCAAGTGCACTCCTCCATTCTTATCCTTGATTCTCAATGGGTTACACTCACTTAAACTCTCTGCACCCCTGGAATTAGCCCAAGTTTCCTCTGGCCCTGACACCAGACTTTAGACATTTTGACAGATAGATGTCTGCTGTGGACACCAGATACCTGTAATATGTCATAGCAAAATAGAAGGCATACTGCTAGCTATTTGATTGCTCTCAGGTTAAAAAAAATGACAAATTGCAAGGTTGAAATCTGTCCTTTGAATATTACAGAAGAGTGACACCCGACTTCAAAGCCAGTCAATTTTACTGTTAAGCGTATGCGAGATTGGTTTGATGAACATCTAAGGATCGATCCACAGGTGCTGGAAACACTAGTATGAGGTGATATATATGTGGCAGATTTTAATTGATCGCAGGACTACGGTCGCGTTCTAGCTTTGAGCTAAAGGATATATCCTTTTAGCTCAGTGGTAGAGCGTTCGACTAGGAACCTGGGGATCGCGGGTTCGATCCCCGGTTGAAGCACACTATGCTCTACACTTGTTATATATATATGAGAAACATTTGTAATAAACATGCTATTTTACATTGTAGACGCCAACCTAAGAACTTGAAACGTATGTTGACATGTTCTAAGTTTGATAATTCTTGTGTAACACCAGAAGTATCAGTCTCTGGAAACAGGCATAGTGCCTTCAGACTGGAAATCTGCAAATGTACCACCTGCTTATAAAAAGGGTCCAAAATTTCACCCAGAAAACTACAGGCCCATATCTCTGACCTGTATCTGTAGCAAAATTATGGAACACATTGTGGTCTCAACTATCATGACCCATGCCGATACCCATAACATATTGTATCCGTTCCAACATGGTTTTCGCAAATCGCGATCATGCGAAACCCAACTTCTTGAATTTGTGGATGACATCTCAAAGAATCTTGATGAGGGACGCCAAACAGATATCCTCATAATGGACTTTGCTAAGGCTTTCGACAAGGTCAGTCATTCTCTCCTAAACCATAAACTAAAACATTATGGTATACGTGGAAATGTCGCAAACTGGATCGAGAGTTTCCTGACCGGTAGAACTCAGACAGTAGTAGTTGAAGGGGAGAAGTCTGATTTTGTCGATGTCCATTCCGGGGTACCCCAGGGGTCAGTTTTGGGACCCAGTTTATTTCTTTACTTTATAAACGATATCCCTGTGGGTCTAAATGCTACAATCCGTTTATTTGCAGACGACACTATTGCATATCTAGTTATCAAGTCAAACAGTGATGCTGAAACACTTCAAAAAGATCTTGACAAACTAGCGCTCTGGGAAAATACATGGAAAATGATCTTCCACCCAAACAAATGCAATGTGTTGTCGGTGACTAAAAACAAAACTCCAATAGTCCATAATTATACTTTACAT